ACCACCGGCAACCATACGACCAAGAGTAAACCTAAACAATCATCAAAAATTGACATTTTAGCAGTCTTCATCTTCAAGATTATTATCAGTCAAGAAGCTACATAGAACCAGCTTCAACAAATCAAGAGTAAACCTGAACAATCATCAAGAATTGATACTTTACCATTCTTACCTTAAAGATTGTCTTATTTCAACCAAACAATCAAGAGTAAACCTGAACAATCAAGAATTGATATTTTACCATTCTTCATCTTCAAGATTGTCTTATTTCAACCAAAATCAGAAATCACCAACCTGTACTGTAGAGTGAATGAACAGAACCATATCAGCCACTCAATTATTCAAATTTGAAAATCACTATTAAGGAACAAGAAATTTTCTCCAGATACTTCAAAATCAACGATTGAAACATTTCAAAATCATCAAATTCTACGCGACACTTCAAGAACATCTATACAATATCAAGATCGTCGAATACCAAACGTATCATAAAATAAAGAATGCGAGAATAATGAAGCATTCCTACAGTTTGAGCACAATCAACAGCCACAAAAATGTCAGTATTACATCGTGCGTACACAAATATTAATTGTGAAAGTTAATCAAGTTAATTATCTAGTGTTTGTTTAAATATTAAATTAATGAAGTATTTTAAAAAAGTGCATAAACACATGATTTTATTTATAAAAAGCAGCCATATATTGTTTGTATTAAACACCTTCCGTTTAATTCCATTATTAATTATTTTAAAGGTGGCATATCAGTGTATGCAGTCACTGAACACTGTTAATAGTATTGTGTTAACTTATAAAACTATAATATTTTTAGTCAGTTTATTTGCAAGATTACCAGCTATCCTACCATGAAAGACCCAAGAGCAGAACAGACTGTCGAGCAAACCAAGGAATGAGAACCTTGAAAGCAAGCACCAGAGTACAAGCAAGACACACACAGCCTGCAGGGATGGATCAAGAGCACGGATAGTTAATGAAATGAATGGGAATGAAAGAGAATAAAACGGTATGAATGATGAATGAAAGATTTGTGGGTAGTATTTTAATAGTGTACATGTTTACTTAGGTTAGTAGTTCATTAGGATTAATTTAGTATTCATGTAATGATAGAGTCAGTAGTTCAAAAGTTAGGAAAAAAAAAAAAAATTCTCTCCCCAGGAACAGCACAGAAGAATTAGGTCAAGATTTATCGATAGATCATATAGAAATCTTTTTCCACAGAATGACTTTGATAAAAAATATTTAATTTGAAATGTTTAGCATAGGTACCCAGCACAGGGACATTGTAAAGTTGTCCACCACACCCAAGATTAGGAACGGCTATAGTTATACTGATGCTGAATAGACATACTGATGGTAAAGAAAGAGTGCACACATCAAAGCACAAGCACAATAGAGGAGTTGAACTCATCTGTATCCATCTAAAGTGGGAAAGGTGTGTGGGATTCCTTGGAGTTGGATACTCTGTTAAAGGTGATATAGAGACTGGTGGGGAAACCCTAAACTCTATGAAAGATCATCCCATTAGTCATCATTTCATCTGAGATTCCTTGGAGTTGAATACTCTGTTAAAGGTGGTTATAGACTTGGAGGAAACTCTAAGATCTATGAAAAATATATCTCAATTATCATTGTTTCATGTTGGATTCCTTGGGGTTGGGTAATTACCCTGTGAAAGGTGAGACTTTAGTCTATGAAAAAATATCTCAACATGCATTTTTTTTTTTTTTCTGTGGTAGATTCCTTGGGGTTGGGTAATTACCCTGTAAAAGGTGTTATAGAGCTTTTGGGAAACTAGAAGCACTATGTTAAATATATCTTACCACTATCATATCGGCTAAGAGTCCTTGGGGTTTAACACCCTGTGAAAGGTGATGTAGAAATATTGGTTGAATCCAATTTTCTATGTAATAAATATCTCAAAGCTGATCATCATCATCACTATCATCATTTCACTTTGAACCTGATAGATTAGATATAGTGACTAAACAATACTACAGATGCAATAGGTGTAAAGATGGTTTAAACTCTTCACCAGCTCAGTACAGGGAAAGCAAGCAATAAATACTGAAAGCAGTTTTAAAGGGTAGTAATTAAGGATAGTCAAGAACTATAATTCGTAGCAGTAATACATTTAAATTGATTTATTATTCCTGTAGTAAATATCTCAAAGTTGACCATTATCATCACCATCATCACAATGATCATTTCACTTGAACCTAATAGAATAGATATAGTGACGAAGCTATACTACAGTTGCAATACGTGCAAAGATAGATACCCTTCACCAGTTTAGTACTAGAAAAAGCATACAGTAGAAAATTAAAATAAGGGCAGTAATTTAGGCTAATTAGGAACAGTAATCCCGAATAGCGAAGTTAGATTTTAGTGCCATTGATTCATTTTAAAGTTGAATGGAAAATGATACTTGATGTTCCATAAAGTATCATTTTGTTAAAAGGCGGGAGGATGTAATGACCCTGCTTTGCATGGTCCTCACGATTACATAGTGGCAAGCAGAAAGTCCGTGCAACAAGGGACAGCACGAGATACTTGTGCCTAGTCGAGGAAGCGAGGGAAAGCCCGAGCTAGACTCGTGGTCAGTCGATCATCAGAAGTCAGAGAAGACGGTTGTAGTATTTGAAGATGTCGTCTTTATGTTGCGCAAATGTTTAATGTTCGAATATGTCGCGAGTGATAAAGTGTGAATAATGTTTGAACATGTGTAATAAATGGACCAGAATAAACGGACAGAATGTACCAAGAAGCTGAGCGTTAGTTTGTGTTGTCAACTCTAGACGTTAAAGTAGTGCAAGTTGTGTAGCAGTAACATCCAGAGAGTGAGCCGTGGCGAAAGCCAATAAGTAGTAAGCCAAAGCGCACTCCAAGTCAAGCCAAGATTTATTACAAAATCAGTCTCATTACTTAATTGTTGGACCTTGTAGAACGAGGCTAAGTGCATTATTCTTAGATGTACAAGAGATACAGCATGCAGGGTAATGTGCTACCTTCTTGATTTTCCAACCATGAAGGACATAATTTAAATTTGCCGAGAAAATTTACCGAAATTAAAAAGAAAAAAGACAGCAGGTTAAAAAGAAGAAAATCGTGGATGAGTCAGGCCAAGGAGTGCTGTGGGACCTTTTCTATTTGCATCCGACTAGACAGAAAACGCAGACAAGAAAGTCCAGCAGCTGTTGAGGCAGAAGTGCAGGCTTTGATTTTTGAGAATTCTGTACAGGTGGATGCTGTCATATACACAGATGGATCTGTGATTTGCCAAGTGAGAAGCTCTCTGACTTTTATAGCTCAGGTTGGAGTTAGAATTGTGAAGCAAGATTCTGGTGCTGTTGCCTTGACCACAAGTAGTCTGACTATGGAGGTTATGGCAGTGACCAAAGCAATAAATGGCTGGAGACACAGACCTTTCCCCACACATGGGCTGGAACTGAAGACAGCGATTGGAGTCTCTTGTAACAAATCCACCTCAATGATTTCAGAATTTACTGTTTCATTTCTTCCTACAATAAAGAGACTAAGAGACTAAGCACCAAGCCCAGATGATTAAAAACTATCTCAAGCTCCAGATTCTTCATCTCAAGCAGCTCAGAGGAAGCTGACTTAACGACCAGGGTATGCTAGTCTGTAGTTTTTTAATCTAAGGCAAATGACTACAATATGCACTGCTAACATACAAAGTGCACAGTGTAAATCCAGTTAATGTCAATATTCTAAGGACACTGTTTTAGTGGAGCTCAATGCCATAATCACCTCCCTAGCACCACTGTGGAAAAATATTTAAAATGAACACACACACATTTTTTAACACTTTTCAGTCTTTTTTACCAAAATTTCCAGGTTTCTGATGCGCAGTGGCCACTGAGCCTATATAACAGAGCTGGTACTAGTTGCAACCGTACATTGTGCAGATATGGCCGGCATTATTACTTTTACTAAAAAATAATTTGCAACAATATTTAGGATGAGGGGGGGGGGGGGGGGGGCCTTTATTAGCCAAAGAGAAGGAAAGCAAGTTAATTCTTTGCTGTGTTCATATTTAATGATTACTTCTCTCAATGCAAAGGAAAAAAAAACTTTGGGGCGAAAAAGTGAATTAGTCAGTTAATAAGTGATGAAAGCCACAATGTCACTGTAGCCGCTATGCTTGCCTGTCTTCTCTGTGTTACAGAAACTGACTAACTACATTTTTTGAGCAAATTTGTGTCTCGTCCTACAGTTTTTTTGGATAGAGTATCAGTAAATTATAAGGATGCTCTTTTTTAAACTAAATTTGGAACAGGTTTCATTTTTAAGCAAGGGTTAAAAGGAATAAATTACTCTACAGAAGACACTTTTGATAAAGTCTCTTAGAATTATGATAATCTACACCAGGCCACAAGCAAAAAATATTGCATATAAGAGAGCCACATTTAACATATGGATGTAAATCCTGGACAATTCGTAAACAAGGCAAACAATTTTGAGACCTATGTTTTTACTGAAGAATGCTTAAAAAACAGCTCTCAAACATCAAAGAAAGACATCCCGTTTTTTTCATGCTACGAGAAGAAAGAAAACGGAACACATAACCACGGGAAAGATTTGTGGAGAGACAGGAAGTCAATACAAGAAAACTCTTGGCAGCATTCTGTCATGACAGTATATATGGGTATCATGAACTGATACATTTTTCCTCATTCTTTCGTTACGTTATCCCCATTCTGTTTCAGTATTTGCCTCAACTCCCTCTGTCCGAAGCTATATTTTTCAATTACCTATGACTAACAATTGTTTCTCTAAGGCACAAAAACTTAAGGGTTGACAGATCTAAAGTAACAACTACTTAGAACCACAGGTTGTGGAAATACATGATGACCTATGCCGGTCAGCAAGGTACATCACAATAACAACAGCAGGCAAGCATTAGATTTTTTTTTAAAGGAGACAAGAAATAAAGTGAACAAAATGCTATACATAACTTCTAACCTTATGAAGGGTGTCCTCTTGCATCAATTGGGACAGTTCTGTTTCTACTAACTGCAGTTTGTGTTTTAGGTCATCAATTTCAATATTTTTCTCTTCGAGTAGTTCAGGGGGTAGAGCCTGAAGGGAAGCCTGACTTGACAAGTGGAACAACTGAGCCTGGAGTTCTTTCAGCTTTTCCTATAAAGACAACAATGGAAAATAAAATATGTCTATACTATATAAACACAACAACTAAAAATAAAATGTCCTTACGTTTTTCAGTACCAGGGAACTCCTAGACGTTCATATATGTATATGGTACCTATTTCTTTACTTTTCCCCCCATTCTTCTGTTATGTTATCCTATTCTATTTCAGGCTTGCCTCAACACCCTCTGTCCAAAAGCTATATTTTTAAACTACCTATATTTCTTACAATTGTTTCTCTAACGCACAAAAACTTGGGGGGGAGAGGGGGGGGGGGGGGGGGGGGGGGAGGGGGGGGGGGGTAACAGATTTTAAAGTAACAACTATTTGAAAGAGTTAATATAACCACAACAATTTAAAATAAAATATAAAATAAAGTACATCATTATGTGAATATATTTCATTAAGAAGCACATTAACAAGGTGGACAAGATATCTTTTAAATGTGTTGAATGTTGAATAAAGACTCGATATCATAGCACTCAGGACACTTCCATAAGTGCTCCGTCCCCCATCTTCAGCCGCAAATGCCTATTCCGACGGCACCAGTAACTGTCTGATTGTATATCAGTCTCGCCCTTTCCCTGAGAGTTGAGCGTCGGCCAGATCCCCTGGTAACTCCTCGCAGCAGCATTCTCCTCAGACTGCAATGATCTATTTCTGTGACAATGATTTCTTTCACAACTTAAGAGTTTATGGCGAATATATATGGTATGGCAAACTGCTGTATAAATCGTAGAAGCACTTCTCTGTGGCTATGAGGTGTTTTAGTCCTTGGTTTGCACATTCTAAGCAGTTTACTGTAAAATGCAATCTATCTTCCCACACCCTTCAAGAAGCTGACAAACTGTTCAAATTTCTCAATGATATTATGGTGCTTCCAACTGCAGTGAAAGTTTACAAGTAACTATTTCTTGTGTTATAACTGTTCTGAAATAATTCAAGGCAGCAAAAGAAGGAGTTTATCAAGAGTTCATAGTCTGACAGATAGGACATTAGATTGAATAAAGACTTGGATTGGAATTTTCACCCTTTAGGGAATTTTGTATAAGTCTGTGCACTGTACTTTTCATAGAGGAAATCAATCATACTTCCTTCCAAAGAGTAATATATTTTATAGAAGTAACGAATGAAAAGAAGTTTTCAATGAAATTGTTTCACATTATGGACAACACCTTGTAGCTGGTACATTATGGAAAAATACTCACAGTGTAAGCAAAGAGGGAAGGGGGGGGGGGGGGGGGGGGTGGGGTGGGGGGGGGGTAGCAAAGGAGGCTACCACAAATTACCCAATAGAGGGTTTCAGAAGGATATATCATTCTACGTACTAACCTTAAGAACTTCATTTTCTCCGTGAACATCTCCCATTTCAAGAATCCTTGAGACTTTGGTCTTGACGTCTTCAGCTTCTTCTTCTTTGGTCTGCAGAATGTGTTCAAATTTGTCTAACTTGTTCTGTGCCTCGCTCAGCTGATGATGAATATAACAGTTAATCTTTAAACCAGAAGCAATGGCAAATCAGACACATAAACATATCACAGATACAGCCAAGACAAGAAAGATACGTTGGCAGAAATAGACCAACAACAAGTGAGAATAGCAGACAAAGAGACAGACAGCAAGACTCAAGGAAACTTCTTGAGTATTTGCCCCTAAATGAGTGTGTGGAATGCTGTGTTGTGGATTAAAGCTAGGCTGTGATATATGCACCTTTGGCCCAACACATCCGATTTAGCATTTCTTTAATTAGTGACCTTTCACAAAATGGATTTTAAAGATGGAGTAATGGGTCTGTCTATCCCCCCCCACCCCCCCCCCCCCCCCCCCCCCCCCCACCACCACCCAAGGTGGCCCTGAGGTAACTCAATAAGACAACAACAAAACAACCTTCGAGGTCCACGGATGTGTCAATAAAATACATACATTATTCTTTTTTTAAATCTGACAGCACACACTTTTTAATATCCTTACTTCCTTAGACACATAACAAAGAATGAGAAACCAATTTGCATTATGATTTAACTATTTTTTTTCCTCTGAAGATTATAGCTTCCTTTAACAGCTGTGTCATTCAGTATACATGAGTGCAATTTTTACCAAGAGTTAGAGCTTTAGAGTTAGTGTTTTGTGCAGTGCTCTCAGCAGGCAGCTGGTCATTCTGGGGAGACAGACCGAGTTATACAGGATAAAATTCAGTGTAATGAAGTTGTTTGTCTTGTAACTTTTTCCTTCTATAAAATCATCTTTTTTTTTCACGTTCAAAGTCAGTAAACTCCGGCGGAAAATTCTGGTCGTTTGTCCACTTCCAGACTCTAGACCTGTTCCAGAACTCGATGCTGTGTGCACATCTGTTTTACAGATCTCACTCAGGTGAATGCAGACTGCTAGTTTCTTGCCTCTCAGGCAGATGCACTTCAACTTCAAAAAAGCTCCCAATAAGTCTAGTCTTACAACATGCTTTTGGGTAGGCAGTGAGTCTATTCTTGTTTTCCCCGACAACACAGCCCCAGAACCCACACAGAGACTTCTTAAAAATAAATGTGAAATCTAATTATCTCTGTACCTTCTCTTCCATTATCTCCACTTTGTCTCTCTCTGCTTGAAGTTTCAACCGCAACTGTGTTGCATCAGACTCCTCATGATTACCTCCATAGTGGCGCAGATGGTCGAGCTGGTTCCTCAGACCAGATATCTGCAGCAGCTGTTGTTGAAGCTGTTCCTTTAAGGCAACATTTTCATGTGTCAACTCCTGTAATAAATCAGTGTTGTTATCTGTAGGCTTTGGCTCAAATAATCAAATATATTTCTAAAAGTAAATCTCTAGATGCTGATGGAAACAATTAGATCTCTAGCAACTGTTACTAAAATTGTATTTTCAATGCAACATTCTATCATTCAAAGTCCTATATTTAAGCACTGTTCTTATGTTTAAATTATACAAAACTGAATTGTTCTCATATTTAATTTAATACAACTGTAAAATGTTATCAGGTTTTATTTCTTACAACAGAACTAAGTTTTAATATTTGAGTTTCTTAAATCTTAAATTAGTTGTGTATCCTTTACAGGACGTTGCAGAACCAACCCCAGCACTTTCTGGCTGTTGTTTTTCTAGGCAAATTTATGTAGTAGTTTGTCATTGCTTTCTGGACGGTCGGCTCTCGGTATCATGGTCGAAACCATTGCAAGACAAACCATCTGCAGCAGGGATCGAACCCGGCACAACAACATTACGAAGCACGTTCACAAAGCCTAAGCCACAGACGCCAACATTTGAGTTTCCACAATAGTAAAATCAAACTGTGTTTTGGTTCTTGCAATTTAAACTATGTTTTTACAAAGTCTTTTAACTGATCTTCAGTGGTTAAAAACAAAATCAAGATCAGTAAAATATAAGATGGAAAGATACTAGTCAATCAAATAATAATCAACTGAGACTAGAGATTCTATTAAAGCTATTTACAGGATATTTCATACCTCTTCAATGTACTGAGCCCGTTCCAGCTCCTCTTTCAACGACACAGATGACGCATAATGGCATTTCTTTGCAGGTGAGAGCTGGACAGGACTATTTCCCTTCTCCTCTTTACTGGCCAAGCTTTTTGAAGCCTCCTCTTCTGTAGCATCAGATTCTTCAGACTTCTCTGTCAGCTGTTTCTCCAGTTTATGAATCCTCTGTTTCAGCTGCTCCTCCACACTTCCTCTTTGGTCAAGTTCACATTCCAGCTGGGACACCCATGCCTAAGAGAGTTTCATAGATATATATACATACAAACATACATATATATGCACACAAACACACACACATACATGCATATATATATATATATATATATATATATATATATATATATATATACATATACATATACATATACATATACATATATATATATATATATATATATATATATATATATATATTATATATATATATATATATATATACATATACATATACATATATACATATATATATACATATATATATATATATATATATATATATATATATATATATATATATATACATATACATATATATATATATATATATATATATATATAATATATATATATATATATATATATATATATATATATATATATATATATATATATATATCTATATATATATATATCAGGGTTCATAGCCAAATTTACCAATCAATTTCAAGGCTTTTCAAGGTCTCCTTAGTTTTTTTCAAGGTTGTCTCGGTGTAATACTGAAACAAGATTTTTTGCCTTGTTCAAGGGTGTACTGAGCACACAAGGTACTTCATTTGTGCCACATGTGTTGGTATACCAGCACATATATCATCATCATGTAGCATTTCCTTTGTCCTGACAAAAAAAAACTCGGTCTCTCACCAGCTCTCCCGCCTCATGTACTTTTTTATACTCAAGGAGTCACTTATATCCTGTGCCCATCTTCGTGTTGGTCGGCCCCTGAGCTTGATATAGTGTTTGAAATTTTTTTTTAAGGCTTGGTGGTAGAGGGCAGCAAACTGAAGTCCTGTCTGTTCTGGACCTGGTACCTGAGAGGGTTAGGGGGGAGAGAGAGAGTCATGAAGAGAGAGGAAGACACATGCTGAGGTAGGCTGGGAGAGACAGTGTAAAGATGGACAGATGAAGGTAGAGAAAAGAAGGAAAAGAAGTCTGGGGAAGGAGGAAAAAATGAGAGGGAGGGATGGAGACATGATGAGGAAAAGTGGGGAAGGGACAGCGAAAGACAGAGAGGGAGACAAATACAGAAAGAGGGAATGCAGATACAGAGATCGGCAGATGAAAAGAGAAGGAAAAAGGGAACGAAACAGAGATATGGAAGGAGGAAAAAATGACAAAGAGTTGAAAGAAGGGAGACAGAGGGAGAGAGAACGGACAGGGTGAGAAGCAGATGCAAGCATAGAGAGATGTAGACATAAAGGAGAGAGAGACAAAGGGACGGCACAGAGAGGCAAGCAGACAGAGGGAGAGAACCAAAGAAAGAGAAAAAAGGCAGAGCAGGAGAATGGGAGGGAGGTATACAAAGAGGAAGTGATGAAGGGAGGCAAACAGACATAAAGCAAGAGAGAGAGAGAGAGAGAGAGAGAGAGAGGTGGGTAAGGAAGGCAGTGACAAACACAGATTAAGAGAGAGGGGCAGGAAGGGAGACAAGATACATCAAAGAAAAAAAAACAGCCACCTACTCCCCTCCCCCCCCCCCCCCACACACACACAATTTCAAGTGTAGTGGACACAACCACTAGGAAAAGATAGTTATGGGGCAAATAAATACGTAGATGAACCAGTAAAAAAATGGGGAGGGGGGGGGGGGAGAGAGAGAATGAGAGAGGGGAGCGGGTAAGGAAATCTAGAGAAAATGAAAAGACAGGATGGAGAGGAGACAAAGAAGAGATGGGACAGGAGAAAGGGCAAGGAAAGGAAGAGAGGAAGAATGGAGAGAGAAAGGAGAATAGTAGAAGATCAAAGGAAAGAGAAGGGGTGAGAGAAGAAAGGTAAGACACTGTTGTGGGGTGGGGTGGGGGGGGGGGTGTAAGAACAATGAGTGCCAAAAATAGAATTAGGAAATCTCTAAGTGTGGCCACTTTTCCGGTTCCTACCCTCTCCCAATGTGAATGTGGCCATGGTCCAAAAACAACAGTGCTAACCCCTACTGCCCCTTGCTTGTCCTATCTGTGTGTGACAACAATAATTCAATTTCTTACAATTAAATCTGGTGACCTGAGAGCCAAGGTCATTTTATAGAGAAAAAAAAAAGTTCAGGGCATCCCAACCCACCACTGGTGGAAAATAGAGAAGTTTACCCACACACATAAATAGGTCAGACACATAAATAGGTCAGGGCAGCAGTGGACTTCGTTTTATTTCTGGTTTTCCAATTACAGAAAGGAGGGGAGAGAGGGGGTGGTGGAAAGTGGTGTAAAAGGCTGAGGTGGTAAGGGTGAGACAGAGGAGGTGAGAGAATAAAGTTTGAGAAAATAAAGTGGGAATGAGACAGGGAGAGAAAGAAGGGAGTAAGAAATAAGATGAGATATAGAGGAAAGAAGGTAGCAGGAAGGGGTGCACTCCCTCCCCTAGGTGTCATCAATGTGGGAGGATAAAAAGGGGGGGGGGGGTGTGACGGCAAATGTGTTTTTAAAAGTACACATATATTTAATGTGTGGGAGGGGGGAATGGTGGACATGAAATGTTCTGCACTAGGCAACACATAACCTTCTACACCAACTGAAGGTATGGAGAAAGAAAGAGAGAGAGAGAGAGGGGGGGGGAGGGAGTGAGGGAGAGTGGCAAATACAAAGAGAAAGAGAGAGAGGAAAGCAGTGACACAGACAGGCAGAGAGTGAGGAACAGGTAGGACAAAATGTGAGGGGGCGGGAAGGGAGATGGACAGAGATTAAGGCCGCTAGGAAAACACATCAAAAGAAAATATCCACCATGTTGACACATATCCCCCCCCCCCCCCATACAACTTCCTGTGTACTTGAGTTGCTAGGAAGAGTTATGGAGCCGCACATTTACTAAACATTTAAACAAGAAATAAAATAGGAAAAAGGGGGAGGGGGACAGGAAATGAGAGAGTAAAAGGAAAGATAGAGAGAAAGAGAAGAAGATGAAGATCAGAAGGGAGGGTTAGATACAATGCAGGAGACGGGAAGGAAGGAGCAATAGGTAGAAGAGTGAAAGAGGGAGGGAAGAGAGAGAGAGGGGTGAGACAACAAAAGAGGGAATCTCGGGGAATTACAATACTGATCACCAAACACACTGTAAAGATAAATCCAGGCCAAAAATAGAACTGGGAAATCCAGCTGCAGTCACTTTGCTTAGCCCCAATGCCATCTCTAATTAATAGAGAAGGCCGTGCTTAGCTCCCACCACGGCGACTCTATTTATAAATACAACTGAACCGAGCCCCACCATCTCCCAATGTAATCCTTTCTAGAAACCACGTCCATAAACGATTTATACTGTTCATTTGGCCCGACTCGCTAGAAACAAAGGCACACACACACGCGCGCGAGACGGAATCTGCTACTTCCCGCCCCATGCCACACCGCTGCTGTCTGCATGTATTCATGATCTGCAACACAGCCCGCCCTCCCCTGGCCTTTAACAAGCCATTTCGGCTGAAAATAGCCAATAATCAGCTGCCCTCACACCTGAAACGACCATACAACGAAAGTAGCCAAAAACTAGCCAAATGGCTCCCCCAAAATTGCCTGTGCTGAAAAACACAGGATTTCTGACGATTTCATTGCCGCGGTCAAAATTCACGGCTTTTCAAGGTCGGAATGTCTTTTATAAGCTAAAAATCAAGGTTCAAGGTCAACGAAAAAAAACCCGGTAATTTCCCGATTTCCCGGACCACTACGAACCCTGATATATATATATATATATATATATATATATATATATATATATATATATATATATATATATATATATATATATATATATATATATATATGCAATGTATGTGTGTGTGTGTGTATACACACATATGTGTATATAAATATGTATAGATGCATACCACATATATGTCCCACATTTACCCTGCAAATATGTAGTGTTTAGTTGTAACACTAAGTAAATTATTTTGAAATACTTGTTATCAACTTTCATCATTTCAGTCACTGCTTTTCCAACTACATAAACAGCTACCTTTAAGTCATGAGCACTAACAACTACCTTTAAGTCATGAGCACTAAGTTCCTTGTCTTCTAGAGACTTCTGTAGGTCTAATATTCTCTGATGCATGGAACTCTGGCTGGCTGTTCGAGCTTGCAATTGTTCGGTCAAGTCAGAAATCTGCAGATAAACAAAAACATAACAGTTTGTCTCTCAGTCTGCTTATTTTTTCTTGCACAGACACACACACAAAAACTGCCACATATTATTTCAAAATAAGTTATCTGTGTCTTGTAAACTAAATTTTTTTTTTTTAAATTTTCATTCACTTTTGTAGTTCAGCCTTTGCCTCATTTTCCGTAAACTAAACCCTCCATCATCTTTTCCAGGAAACCTTGACATTTAATATGGCCACAATAATTCAGCTTCTGGAACAGGATGCTGTTTATGAGCCAGCTCTCCTTGATGTTCAGATTACGTAGGGAGAGGCTATTCACCTGCTGGTCTGTGGGTCAAATCTAGCCTGTAGAACACCTGCCAATTGTGGATGGATTCCCCGTGTGTTCTAAAATTAAGCTCTTGTGTTTTCTAAAAACTATTTTATCAAAATTATTTTTTTTAAACTTATATGCTCCTTCATTCCTTTGGAATGTAGCCAGTATTTTAAATCATCACCATCAAGTACCTTGCCAACTGGCGTGGGCGATCATGCCTCTCCACAATCTGCGATCTGCAACTGCGTGTATCAGTTCGTGTGCTGACATCCCTCCATGCCATGACAAAAGACTGTCAAGAATCTTCTCACGCTGTCTTCCTCTGTTTCTCTTTCAACAGATCTTTCCAGTGGTAACAAGACTTTCAATTTTTCCTCTTCTCATCTTCAAGCAATTGCCTCTTTCAAAGCCTCTGGGTTGCAATTATTAGCTGTCCAAGGAATTCTAAGGATTCTTCAGGAAAACCACATCTCTGAGGCCTTAAGAGATTGTTTGAATTATCTAGATTTACAGCTGTATGTTCAAACTGGCTCTATGCAGCATGTGAGAATTCTTTTCCTTACCTCTAATGACAAGGATTTATTCAGACTCTCCAGGTGATGCCGGTGTGTTTGGAAATGAGCAGGCAGATAGACTGGCTGGCTCTGCACCACTTGGTGGTGAACTGGTGTACGACAAGTTAGATATTGTGAGGGCCTTTTGGGAGCTAGTGAACAGTGCGCAGGTGCAGATAGATCATTACCGTCTAAGGAGAATGGTGCTGCGAGGTTTTACCAGGGGCTCTGGCTTACGTTTAACACTCAGGGAAATGATGAGACGATATACTCCATTTTCCAACATTCTGGCCTTTGAGTAATCTTAGCTGAATGGCCCTGATGTAGAATTTTGATGTTTTATTCTTATTTAGCAGATGCGAAGGTCTCAAATATGAAAATAAGAAGTCCAGCTCATCTGACTACCAGCAACTGAACAATTTGATAAAACAGTCAACAATAATTTAGTATTCCAACATCACATAGTGCTAAGGGTCTACAGATAGAGTTACTTTCCTCCAACATAATTCTGAGGTGCACAGATTAGATTTACTTACCTCAAACATAATTCTGAGGTGCTCCTTTGATTCCAGCTGCCAGAGATTTGGCAGCAGATTAATTAAGATATGATTTAAACATGTGTATCTAGAGCTAGCCATTCAGAAAGCAATGGAAAACTAATGAAATTAACAACTGCTTAACAAAAATTACAAACAGCCAATAAATGCTGGGGGTTGGTTTTGCAAAGTTCTCTAAAGGATAAGCAATAAACTTGTTGAACTTACCTCCAACTGAAGCCTTTGCTGAGAAGTGGCACTGCGATCTTTCCCTTCAAGTAACTGTTCAAGTCTTTCAATTTCTTGCTGATGTTCCTCTCTCTCTTGTTCACGTTCTGCCATTTGCTCCTGTTAGCAACAACAACAAAAGGTCCTTTACATGTTTAAAAATGTTGCAGTGAAGCTGTAGGCTTTACACATGTAACACTACAGATTGATTTGTAGTGGTTTTATCTTCCTGCTAAAAACAAGATATGGTCAAGGCCCTTTGGAAACAAGCAATGGAATCAGCAGAGAAAGAAGATTATTATGGCCTGGAGAGAATGAGGCACCTGGGTGTAACCAGAGGGTCTGGCCAGCTCACTACACTCAGAGGAAAGGCAAGAAAGACATTTAACCAGATTGTGACTGGTACCATCAGTAGTGGAATCTGCACAGGCTGCTGAAGATGAGGACGGAGCCTGCTTGGGAATGCCCAAAGTGCTGTGATGTCAATTCTTGACTCAACTTAACTCAACTCTTCCTGTTAAAACTATGTCATTTTACGTCTCTCAGTGTTGCTGGAAGAAATTGCTAATCTCAGCCAGGATAAGAAAGAACTGTCCACTCAGCTACAGTACCAGATCGACCAGCTGCAGAAACAGCTCTTGGATCAAGAGAAAGCAACAGAGGAAGCAGAGCGACATCATGAAGCAGACAACAGCAAAATGATACATTAAAGTAACAAGAAATAAAATTACACAAATGTATGTATGTGAATAACAGAATATACAATAAATTTTAATTCTCTGCCTTGTTAAAGAGGAGAAACATAAAAGAATCAACAATAGAACTGTAATATACAAATGCCTTCAGTAAAAAACCCTATTCATGTCAGCTATACTTTAGGCATATGGGTCTTCACCCAAATGTTTGTAGATCAATTGGAACTCTGATGGGTGATGTGGTTAACATAATGCTGGTTGCCTTTACACACCAGTACGTTTCCTGGAACTCATTTTAGACTGGGTTGACCTGGGAGCCAAACTCAATTATGAAGAGGCTTCAAATTAAAAACCTTAATAGTGTAACAGAAATTACAATAACCACACCACTGTCTTGTAGCCTGTCAGTATTGTGTTAAGGATGTCAAAAATGTTAAGCATGTGACATCATGGTATAGACAAACAATGGTGACACCATAATAACATGTCAAAAGGGCAGTGCCCATCTTTAATCTGTCATTATGACATCACCATGTTCACCTGTATCATGATGTCACTTTTAAGGTTTTCATTTGTAGCCCTGTCGTATTTAAAAAAAATCCACATTTGTGCAAATTTTAATGCAAGGACCTTTGGGCTGCCAGAGACAGGCATTTATACTAAATATCACACATTATACTGTATACAGAACTGGATGAAACAAGAAGCTGTATATAAAGAAAGCCAGAGAGATTTAAGAAACATGGAAACATCTGACAAAAGATAAGCTATGAAAATAAACTGATGGACGATAAATAACATAGCTGTAAAATTAAATACATAAATAAATAATAACAAAAAGAAATAAATACAGGACAAGAAAATTATGAAGATCTGTTGCTCACTTCAACAAAGGCTTTGTTTGCTTTCAGTAACTTTTCCACATTCTCCAGCTGCAACTTGAGGTCTGCTACAGCCTGATTCCTTTCTTCAATAGCTGCTTCATGACGTCGCTCTGCTTCCTCTGTTGCTGTCTCTTGATCCAAGAGCTGTTTCTGCAACTGGTTGATCTGGTACTGTAGCTGAGTGGACAGTTCTTTCTTATCCTCGCTGAGATTAGCAATTTCTTCCAGCAACACTGAGAGACGTAAAGTGACATAATTTTAGAAAGGAACATAAAACCACAACAAATCAATCTGTCTGTTGTGTCACACGTGTAAAGCCTACAGCTTCACTGTATCATTTTGAATCAATAAGTAAAGGACTCTTTCTGTGCCAGTGGTGCATGGGGCATATGATGCTAGACCCATATTTTCAAAATCAGTTGGCACTCATTGGGTGATATTATCAACACCATGCTAGCTGCCTTTACATCCCAGGATATTACCTGGTACACACTTCAGGCTGGATTAACTATAGAGCCAAGGTTAATTTTGAAATGAAATCCTCGACACAGATTCAGCCCTAGACCTTTGCCTAGCATCTAGCCACAATGGTACGTGACTCCATAATTATCAATATGGAGTTTGAAAGAGAAATGAAGTTCTTCCCTTTACATCAAAATCAGTGCCTGTAGAATATGGGTTTTGAATGCAGTTCCACAATTCTAGCTCAACATGGTTAGAAGTCAGCTGCACGTAATTTGGTAGCAGGCTGCTTTTGTGTTGATTATGACAATGGTATGAACATCACACCATTCGGAAACCAACGGTAAAGTACTGAATGTATAAGTGCTTAGTAAGATCATGCAACAGCCAATAAACATGGGGGCTTCTTTGTGATCTCTTGAAGAAGACATGCAACAAACTTTGACATTAAAAGTATTACTAAAACTAAACTAAGACAGAAGCACAAATCTATAAACACAAGACCTTACTCCAATATACAACAACACTTACATAGCAGTCAAAAGGAAGAAGACATGCAAACTAGCTTTTACTTCAAAAGTGTCATTAAAACAAATCTAGAACTGAAGCACAAATCTGGGAACAGCACTAGGCTATAACATACAAAAACACTCAAAAAGCAGCCACAAGAAACAACATCTATAGTGTGAAATACAACACAATACACAAACCTGGAGAGCTGTCAGCAGGCATGCACAAGTCCTGCTGTTTCTTGGCTGTACACAAGAGACAACACAAATCATGCTTATTCAAAAGTCAAAACTGTGACAGATTTACAACAACAAAACCAGTTAAAGGTAAGCAAGAAATAAATGCATCCACAAATGTAACGTCTTGTCAGTTTTAATAAAAAATGGAAGCTTTGTTACGAACTCTTTACCAAGCAGCTTAACACATTTAGATTCATGATTTTAATCTGTATTCTCAACAGCCAGTGGACTTATAGATCCCAGGCTAAGTCACTACATGTAGTCTTGTTGTATCAATGTCAATGTTTGTGTGTGTGTGTGTGTGTGTGTGCGTGTGCGTGAATGTGTGTACTGATGAAGGCTTTTTCTTCCTTTTTTGTCATCTCACTGAAACCAGCATGTAGCCCAGTGTCATAGTTTTCTGTATCTGTCTTGCGCTTCTCGGGTGGTTTGAGTGATAGATCTGATCATCTTTTTTGCAGGTTTCAGCTATACTATTTATTCATCTCTTTCTTGGTCTTCTTCTCGATCATCCTCCCAGATGTTCTACTGTAAAAAGTCTCATATGCAGTCTGGTCTGGGTGCATTCTCATTAGATGGTCAAACCATTTCATTCTCTGCCTGTCAATATAATCCAGACATAGTCTTATTCCAACTTTCTCTCTAATGCTGGTATTCGTAATCCTGTCTCAACTAGTGTTGTTAGTGACCTTGCGGAGGGAGACAGGGTATTTCACACGTGGTTATTTTCTGTTCTAGTCCCCTATTTATTGTCCATGTTGTGCACTGATAACATAAAGTAGGAATAAAGATGCTATTATTTATTTGCTGTTTTGCTGGAAGGGAGTCATCTGGGTGTCTAAGCAGTGGGGCTAACTGGTAGGTGACAGCATTTGCCTTCTGTACTCTGGCTTCTATCCTCCTTAAATATGATTCCTAGAGTTTTTGAATTCTCGTACTTGTTTCTTCTTGCTTTTTCTTCCCAATTTTATTGTTTATGATTTTGTTTTACTGTGAAGCTAACTAGTTTTACTTCTTGCTTAGGTAATGTTTTTTTCATCTGGAAGACAAGCAGTTTTTATACTGCCACCTTTCATCACAGGGTGGGGAAACTGCAAATTTGGCCTTTTAAAATAAGGAGAAAATAAAGAAGGTCTTGTAGAAACTGTATGCATGACAGATCCTCTAGTAGTTAGAAATCATAGACAAACTGATCGACCAACCAACTGACCAACTGATGGACAGATGGATGGGTGGATAGGTATCAGGGTAGATGGAACATGTATGGATTTGTGCGGAGTGCTATGACTATTCAGTAAGGAAATTAACCATTAAAACAATGGAATAACAGGCTGGAACAATTAATAAACCTACACCTTCCAAATATAGTGTGCGAGATGGACTACCATCAGTTTGTCCAAAGTGAGGTGAGCTGACAAAACAAAGATGTAATAGAGCAGTCATTTAAAAAAAAACTTAAATCCAGTCTTTAGACTGATAAACTTTATGGGTTTTGACTTTTCCACAGATCACAATACTTTCATGGTTAGCACCTTTCTCCAGACTATAATTGTATATTGTACTGTAAGGAGGCATGGAAATCACAGCCCATGGTAACGTCAGAGCGACTCAAAAGACCAGTTTGCATTCTAAAGAATCTTCCAAATTAACAACAGATTTCAGGTCCACTTTTGCCATCACATATTTTTTACATGTTCCTTCTCAGATATCAGCTCTTCACCTGTCTGCAACCCTAATCTCCTTGGTCTCTTATTTCCTTCCAAATGTTTTTCCCCCATGTAAGATCCATGGCATCCAATTCCCATGAATCCACACCATTCATGTCCCGTTTGCATACATATTTATGTCATAGTACAGGCCGAACAGACAAAATCTTCTACCCATTGGTAATTCACAGCACAGTATGTCCTTAAGAAAACCTTGTATTTACATACATTAGACATAACTATTAATGTATAAACAATGCGCTCGGCACTGAAAGACGTAATTCACAAAATATTAAAACAATGCTGCTTGGTAAAGAATGACTAAGCTTTTAAAAAAATAAAAATGAAAATATGCATCTAATAATTTCAAAAATATTGTGTGTAAATTTAATCATCAATGTTACCAACCTCTACTCTAATCAAAATTATGCCTCTAAAATAGCCGAGGACTACTTTTACTTCAAAGACATATTTCCCAATGAAATAACAGACATAGAATTGAATCCACTTAAAAACAAGGAATAGGAAATAAACTTTTAGTTTCATAGCTTATTTTACTAACATAATTTCAGCCCGCCTCCATTAAAACTGCTTGTTCCCATGAGGAGCTGGTTATTTTTCCTATTCCGGCCTCGAAGGCGGCATAAACGTGCTTCACCATGCTTTACTCTCATTTTAGTGTCAGAAATTCATCATTATCCAAATGGTGTGATATTCACCATAGCATCCATTATGATTCAATAAGTCTGTAACAGTACTGAGTTAGCATCATATGCCCAGTTAGGCATGTAGAAGGAGTCCTATTTTTATGTTTCCTATTTCTTTAATGTTGGAAAAGTATGTATTAATGTATGGCTAATCACAAATTGCTCAAAAGTTTCATTTATAAATTACGATTCCTCAACGGGCTCAGACAGTTTCAGTGTACTATGTGTTTCACATAAGACTAGTGATGCTTTGAAAGAAACCACAAAGGGTGTGTTAGTATCAAATTTATGAGAAAAGCTGAATACTATTTTATAATCGTGGCAGCACATGGAACAATTTTAACAGAAATGAAAATATTAGCTTATGTGAAAAAAAAATAATTGCACTTTCAATGGGGCATGATAAGGAGACTGAGTAAAACAACAGCCCTTATGTAAAAGTGAAATATGCAAGTAATACTGTAGCAATGCAAGACCACATGCAATACAAACAAAAATAAAAGCTGCATATAGTTAAAAAAAATTTATATAAAAATGTATATCAGCAAGAAAAATAAAAAATAAAATTAAAACTTCCACTGCTGCAATAAACCAGGTTCTTTCAAAGAAAACAGAAAAGCACATAAACATATGATAAGCAGTGCAAACCAATATCTTATTATTATTTTACTTTACAATTTACTTTCAGTAAACTTTATAAAGAAAATGCCAAATTCATCAAAATTAACTTAAATTTACGCTGAAATTGTGTAGTGACAATACATAAAGTAGTTAGACAGGAGAGCTCACTAAGCACCTGATACCTACAACCAAAAGCTCTGACTATAGAGAGAGGAAAAGAACCAGAATCAGTTAACAAACACAAACCATGCAAAAACAATTAGCTCAAGATAAAAAGTCTTAACCCTTTCATCCCACAAACGCTTTAAAAAAAAGGCAAAAAACATGTCAATTCAGTCAGACATATTCAGATGTTGTGACAACCCCATAAATACCAATATTTCACCATTTCAGCAGTGACCTGTTCTAAAAAAGCTTGGTTAACTACTACTGGTTCTGTGTGCACTTGCGCAGTAGCCCAGATGTCAATATAGTAATCTCAATATATTAACTAAATATAGCATTTAGAGGGGTTTTTCTTGTGAATCCAATAGCTTTTAAAATTTAGGATGACTTTAAAAATGTTTCTCTTTAGCCTCAGTACTAGAGGCATGTGTTTTTTTAACCCATTCATAAAAATACAAATCTCACAGTCAAAGAAACTATAATTTCATCCCGCTTACTTATATTTTCAACCACAAAAGAAATTTGTACTCTTGAGATATATTTGCAAATTATTTACTTTTCCCTATGTAACTTAACAGTGTAATAAACAATAGGGTAATAAGAAATAAAAGGATGTCTGAAAGTAAAATAAAACAAACAAAAAAGGACAGATATTTCACTAGTATGTAAAGTAAAATAGTAAAGAACTTTTCTGAAATACGGCATATGATGTTAGACTGTTTTTTTTTATAGACCAACTGGCACTCAATGGATGATATGATCAATATAACACTAGTGGCCTTTAATAGTGGAATTTGATGGGGGGGGGGGGGGGGGGGGTTTAGTAACTAACAGGTGTAAAAGTAAAATACAGGAAAAACTTTTCCTATGCCTTTCAGGCATATGGGGCTAGACCTACACTTTATAGAACAATTGGCACACGGTGAGTAATGTGGTCAACATCACACCGGCTGCTGCCTTTACTTCCCAGAACCTAACCTTTGTACCCATTTAGGGCTGGGTTGACCTGGGAGCCAAGGACATTTTGAAAAAAGTATGGCTTTGTCAGGAAATGAACCCATGACCTTTTAATTTTCAGGCAAGCGACTAGCTGCTACATCATTGTGGCTTCCTCAATAACAGATAAATTAAAAAAATAAACAATAAAAATAATTACTAACATCTGCAAAAAGTGGTGAAATAAAAACGATGACCCAATTCCTTAATCAAAAAAATAATATTTCTGAAATATTGTTGCAAAAGTTGCAAAAGTTTAAAAGTTCTAGACCACAGCAGAAAAGGTTATAAAAGCAGCAAATAAATCTCAACCCCAACACCTATTTCTCTAACAAAGCTATGTGCGCAGTATTCTAGGGACAAGCTTTCTTATAAACAAACTTAGTAATTCTAAGTTTATCCATTACACTGAGATACATTTCTGAGTAACTGAAAGGGTTGAACTATAAGGGAAACCCAACAAAATATCTGGGAACAAAAGATCTGGGCAAAATGAATTGGGTTGCATAGCAAGTCTTACCTTGCCACACTGCATATTTTATGCCTGCAGAATTGTGCGCTGAAAATACTTCGCAATAAAATGTTAGATTACATTCTATGAGCAGCAAGTCAGAGTAGAGGACCATTTGGAGCATACTAGATACATAGTGCTAGCCTCTATATTATTTACAGACCCTTAGCCTTTATGAATGATACTGTCAATATTATGCTGGCCATCTATATTTACTTCGTCCAAACATAATTAAGGCATCCAAACATAACTATGAGTGCAAAGAGACAGATTACAAACAGCATTTTCATTCCAACTTTA